CCCCAAAACCCCAAAACCCCAAAACCCCAAAACCCCGAGGGGGATTTAGGTGGTTGACTTAGGTTTGGTGTGGATAAAGTTTTATTGTATATTATGTGACCGTCTTATTTTTGAAGCTTAATGAGTTGTTTTTTCTAATGTAGGAATCTTTTAAAAGTCATCAGGTAGTTTTATTCTGTATTTCCAGAGAAAAAACCATCTAAGCAATCGCTAAACTTCCTCAAATTACTCTTTCGGTATTTTGGCAACTCTGATTAAATATATAACTGGCTTGCCAATAAATCTTTTAGAAAAATAGGACTGCTCTAGTTAGGTATTAGACTTGGGGAGTGCTGAACTTGAGAGTATTTCCTCATTTTATTTACAAATAAATGCAATTAAGATATTCTTTTTGAATGTTGCTATTTTGATAAACAAGAAGAGATGAAGAAGAAAAGAAGCTATTACGATACATTTGGGATCAGTCTTAGAAATCATTTGCCATTTTTGAAACTAGCTGTTTCTAATATTTTATAGTTGTGTAAAAGTATAACTTGGTTGCTATATGACTTATGAGGTAAATATTAATATCTAATCAGGCAATCCAGATTTAAATGATTCAAAATTCACTACTATTATCCGAAGCGCTTAACTTGTTCAATCGATGATACTGGATCAATATTTTGAGCTGTATTTAAGCAACATTTGAATTATAAAACTCTATTTTCTCTTCCCTAGGAATGCATACCCACAGAATCTGTTTAAATATAACACAGAAGGCTTGATGTTAAATCCCGAGGAGAATTCGTATAACTTCTTTAAACATAGTTGTCAAATAGATAAATAATAATTAAAAACTTAGGTTTGGGTTTCACCGAGATTTGATAAAATTTCGGACACTTTAGTGGATTCTGTAAATTGTTAATTTTAATAGGATACTCAAAAATTTCTAGACAAAAAATACTGTTTGCGAGCACCAGAAATTTCAGAAGCTAGTGTTGCAGGATGAGCAAGATGTAGCTATATAGAAAGATACACCCCGAATATCTTTCTTAATTGGAAGTCATGATTTCATATTCTGCACAAGGCAAGAAAAATATAATTGGAGCATACAAAGTTGTGAGGAAGCCAGTAAAAAACAGATAGATAAGAAATAAGAGTTAAACTTTTGAGAATACTTAATGGCTGTTTCATGAGTTTCTTGAAGTCTAGCTTCTACTCTTTCCTCCAAGTTGGCTTTCAGATGTTTGTTGATAAGAGCAATGAATTGGTTAATTTTAGGAGTAGATTGATTCTTCCATGTTTGGGATGATTTCATTTCCAAAAGAGACTCTATACTCGCTGCTCTGAGGTTTAGAAATGATGATATCAATTTTCAAAAATATTCAGATGAATATAATGCTTCAAATTTATCATCACTATAGCTTCGAATGCATTCAGAAACCCTGCATCCTATTTCTGTAGCTTCACAGTTGGTTCTTACATTATCTTTACTATTGAGATTCATGAACTTCAGCATAAATTTGGCCATATCACCAGGGTGCTCTTTGGTAATATATACCACCGACAAGTCTTCTAGTGCTTGCAATATCTGTGTTGAAGATACCTTCGATAATCTTTTATTGACCAACTTATTGTTGTGATGCTTAAACAACATTAAGAAGAACTTCTTGATGGCTCTGAGCATTTTCCTTCTGTAGACATCCTTTCTAGTAGCCCTTGTTGATTCCAATATTGATTTAGACGAAGCTGGAGACTGATCTATTGCAATATTTACTGAGTTTTCTACCCATTTGTTTTGTTCTGAATTATCTTGAATTAAATCTCAGAAAAAGATGGATAGATTGGATTCATCATAGCTATTACCACTATTTTTACGATGAAGTTCATTAAGTTGATCTCTCGATTGAAATGTGACCATTTGCCAATTTCTCAGTAGCATATCTCAATGAGGATCATAATCCAAGCGGCTTAGAAATAATTTTTGTCATTCTTCATTCTAGATAAAAATAAATTCGTACACTTTAAAGAAATTCCAACAACCGTTATCCCATCAAAAATAATCTTGCAAAAAGAGCAAAATATTGCTAAAATAAGCTGATTCATAATTCATTAAATCATCTAATCATCCATCAAAATTTGTATTCACAAAAATAAAAATTTCCAAAATAGGAATCATATTCCCTCACAATCCATTCCCTAACGCACACCCTCAAATATCAAACCCTACATCAAAACTAATACTCGCTTCTAAAATTTCGACTTTTCTCTACTAAAATCCCAAAAATTCTCTACATTTTCAAAATTTCACACTATGCAGGCCAAATAATTGAACCGCAAAAAAACTCCGAATTGATCTTAACCAATCTATAATTCAGTGAACAACTTTTCTATTTTAAGAGCCCACTGGGGAGATATAGTGGGTTTAGTGCAGTTAGTGTTAATTGAAGGGAGATTTAGTGCTTCAATACTTTACGAATACTTTCCCTGCTCCGTTATGGCAAGTGGAGTAGGCTAAGTCTTAAGGTAGGTGGTGGCTAGAGCTTCTTTATACTGCCAAGGTCTTAGGAAATGTACTCTTTGTAGTCTCTTACCTGATGGCCCAGTGAGAGTCAGTTTGGGATAGGTCTAAGTTAAAGGTGAGTCCTGAGTGATCCATTTAAGTATATTTATATAAAATAGGACGGTTTGCTTATTTATGTGCTTTGGGGTTTTGGGGTTTTGGGGTTTTGGGG